GGCGATGGCCGAGCTCTGCTCCCCGGGATCCAGTCGTGGGATGTGTGGGGACGGCTCGGAGCTGCCTCGGGGGAGGTTTAACTGGACGTTAGGAAGGGTTTATTGACTGGGAGGGTGCTCAGAGACTGGAACAGGCTTCCTAGAGAGGGGAGCGATGCCCCACGCCTGCCAGTGTTCAAGAGGAACATACTTTAGCTTTTGTTTTGTCCTGAAGTGGTCAGGCAGTTGGACTAGATGACTGCAGGTCCCTCCCAACTGAACTATTCTATAATTCTGTAATTTTAATCCTACCCAATAAGGGTCAGAAGGTTTTGCCAGTTTGTGCTGAGACACATATACACCGGGATGAGTCTGGATCCCAGAGAGAGACACTTCACCAAGGCAGTCCATTTCTGTAGGTGTTCGGCTCTGTGAGCCCAAATAAGATGGACATTCTCTCTGTGAGCCTCCAGGCCACGGAGGACGGCTGCTGGTGGTGCTGCTTTTACTTCTATCAGTCCTGCTGGATCCTTTCTTCCCTAGCACTGGCAAAGTGTGTTCTTAATTCAAGTGACACGGAGAAAAGCCAACACACGCGGAAGCAGATTACGGTACAGCAACTAACCCAAGTGGCTCAGAGCAGCCTGAAGTCATGTTTTGGTGAGACAGGAATCTGACCCACAGTGAAAGAAGCAGCATGACAAACGCTTAACAACCACACCATTTACACTTTCATAATGACCGAAGAAGAGACCAGAGGCTTCTTGGGCGAAGTTGCAGCTACGCCCCTTTTACCTTTAACCACAAGGCCCTAGTGTCCTTGCAAATATTCACCCGAAGATACTAAGCAGTATACATCAGGCATCTTTTTAGAGCCAAGTCACCTTCACATGCACAAATAGCGAGCAAAACTCTTGGAGATGGGAAATTTGGAGCAATGCAGGTTACGGAGATAAGAGAGAACATTATTACACAGCCACGACTGTGGCGAGTGCAATGGAAATCATATGTCAAACAATGAGCAAATGTCAGATAAGGAGCGTAATGACAGCTCAGAAAAGGACTGCAAAAGACACCAAGGACGAGGTGAGTGCTCGAGGGAAATAACAATAAACCATTATTCATCCTTCAGCAAACTGAAAGTGTAGTCTAGTAGATAGTACAACAGATTAGGTGCTGACAGACAGCAAGTCCCAGCCATGTCACTCACCTGAAAGTGGGAACCAAGGTCAGGTCACTTCATCTTTTTCCCCACTCCAAGTTGTCCCGTAGCCCAGCTGGCATTTGTACAGCGCCCTGACACACAGGGCCCAACTTCAGTCGGTGTCTCTGCCCCAAACCAGTAATTTCCCACATTAGCCAACACATTAAATGCTTTCCAGAAGGCTCCGTTTCCAGAAGTTCCACATCTCCAAGCCGTGTTCTGCTTTTTACACTGGTTGACAGTCTAACCGTGGCCTGGTTCTGTCTTCACACAGCTGATAGTGAGGCCAAGTCTGTATTACCGTGTTACCCGGACTGGCTGTTTTGCATCCTAGGTACTGCAATCAAAGTCTGTGATCTGCAGTTCAACCCCTATCACATCGTTTAACAGACAGAAAATAGCACGATACATGAGCACGGACACCAGACCTGTTACTGTTAAGACTAAACAGCTCGAAACTTCACAATTATAACTAAAGGAATAATTCTACTGGAAACAGTAGCTAGTACACTCACAGCCTCTGCAGACCACTTACCCTCCAGAGGGCACGGCTCTCTTCCCACACTCTGTCACGAGTTACACTACCTGAATAGTGGCCAAGCCATATTCTTGAACCATAAAACCTGGTACAACTGTTTTAGAAGTGTAAAGACACTCCAGAAGTGATCTATAAACCCACGCAGCTCAGGCGGGATCTACCGGCAGGTTGGTTGTTCGTCAACCGGGACTGTAGCGTGTGCAAGCTCAGTGCCCCTTCTGTAACCGCTCGATCGCTCAGGTCCACTTCCCATCCCCAAAGGGCAACAGTTCCTGCTGCTAACCTGGTGCACTTGTAAAAATTCTGCAATAGTAATTTTTGAGGACAACAGATCAGTTCTCAAACACCTTTTGCAGAAGGAAGTTAGAGGAAATTCTCTTACCTGATCCCCATTTTGTTCTGCGGACAATAGCAACTCTTATGTGAAAGGTTCCATTAAGCAAAACCCAGCTTGTCAGTCAAAACCAAGAGAGATCTTTAGCTTTTAGGCTTTTAAGGTGATTTCGACTCTCCTGTAATTTTCTGGTGACACATTACACCTGCTGTTCCCCTCTGACATCCCCTCTCTGTAAACATAAGATTCAGTGACTTTTTTTCCCTAAGACAATAGTTGGTGTTTGTCTGGTTTAGAGCGTAGTGCGTATTTGGACTTGAACCCTCCACACAATATTTGTTACATATTTGTCTCTGCAGGGCATAACTGAAAGGTAGGAGTTTAAAAAAAAAAAAACCCAGACAGTGTGATTATCAGTTGTGTCCTTTTCACTGTGAGGGGAGAAAAAGCAGGTACAAGAGAATTTCCTTCTTCTGAAGTGAGAAGATGATTCAGCTGCTATTTAGAAAAGGTGATGATATAGAATTTGTCAGCCACTGTTCTGAAGGGACAAGATTACACACGGAATAGACACCCAAGAAGGCAAACTGAAGAGCCTGTGCTGCTTCACAGAAATGTAATATATTCTTTTGTTTCCCATGTTCAAAATCAAGGCAAAAAGACAGAAGTATTGTATTGATGGCCAAAGTCCTTGTTTAGCCCAAGTTCTACAAGCTTTTAGTACAGGTTTGTGTCTGCGGGCATCTGTTTATTTGTGAAGAGACTGTTTGTTAACTTTGACTGCCTTCCGCCAGCAGCAGGGCGGTTGCTGTTCCGTTAGCACCACCAGAGTCCTCATCAGATACACCCTCCACGAGCACCTTACACTGCCTTCCTGGAAGAACACGTAGGAGGGAAGAGCAATGCATTAGTGCCTTTCTTTTCAAATTACACTTGCCATTAGTAGTAATTAATTTTTGACCTCTCTGGGAAAAAAAAAAAAACCAGATAATAGATGCTGTTTAAAAAAAGTGAGTAACTGTAGAAGAAATCAGAGATGAACAGAAGGGGCCATGAGAGTGAGTCAGGTCAGCTTCTGTTCTTATTCCCCACAAAAGACCAAGGGATACCATTAAATTTACAAAGACAGTAAGCGTCATGCTACTAAAATAAACAGCCCATCATTTGTGTACAGACCTCTCTGTCACAGGTTACCACTAGGATTGAGCACTTGGCAAAATTAAGACCGAGATACTGAAGCAGGTAAGTACGAGGTTTAAGCAAAGCGTGAGGTCTGACTCGGAGCCGGGGGGGAGCTTCAAGAAGTTTCTCACAGAGGCCACTGCTGTAGCCCCCTCCCCTGCTACCAAAAATCCCCCCCACACACACACACACCCAGCACACCCCTGCAATACTAAACCATCATCTAGCCACCAGAGGATAGCGTACGGGGGGAAAATAAGTATCCTTCAAAGTCTCAGCTCAACTTATTTCTATTGCCTTCTCATCCACTGGGTACCCGACGCAAACCGAAAAGTAGACAGGGCTTGGGACAATGATTAACCAGCAAGGAACTTGCCAGTAAGAAAGGGCAACATCGTTTATTAAAGCAAAGACAAGCTTAACACAAGCTGTTACCTTTGTCACTAGTCTAGATAATACATTAACTTCTTTCTCCTCATACTTCTACTGATGTTGTTTCACTGGCTTCTATGAAGGACCAGCAAACACTTGGGAGAAGAGATTGAAAAGTTGAAAATTAAAATACTCAACAGCAAGTGATATTAACGGCACGTTTCAAAGTTCTCTTGAGGAATTCAGATGTTATGCACGTATTTCATAGAGGAGTTCAGGATGGCCAGTCCATTGAGTTTCCGCAGTTGAAAAATATGCCTGAAAAGACAGAAAGATTGCCAGGGGAATAAGATGACTAACACTAGAAGTTTTAAGCTTCCTCTGCTCTGCTATATGCCACGCTTGAACTGTCAAGCGTGTTTAACGCTACATTCAATAAATTCCTCCTAAAGTAGCATGCAAAACAGAGATTCTAGATTACTTTTCCTCACAGAAAGGAAAATGAAAGTTCTAAATAATACTTGACAACTGTTCAAATAGGTGACATTTCAAATGAAAAAACCTAAGAAAATAAGGTGTTTCCCTGTTGTATCTCTGGAGTGTTTTGCAAATCTCAGAACAGATACTTTCCCTACTGCTCATTTGGGATCTCCAGCAGAAGCAAGGTACTTAACCTTCTGGAACCTAAGCATTATCCCTCGCTTTCTGCAGTGGTTCAGGAAGCACAGTAACAAATTGAACTCGGTTTCTCTGTCTCAAATGCAGTTCAGGATCCAGCTGACAGCTTGCAGCTAGCTAGAGCTTGGCATACTCTTGGCAGGCCGCAGCACTCTTTGCTGACATTTATATTTTTGTTTTGCTCTCATTATTGCCCTGACCTCTACCAACTTAAACATCACTCCTGCTCCTTCCATTCTTCCAGCACAGGTAACATCAGACACAGTGCAAAGTGAGCTCCTTGAAACACGTCAGACAACCAACAGCACGGGAACCCTAAAGCAGAATTGTGGGGACAGTACCACAAGCGGGAACTCCAGCTGGAGGAAGGGTAATAGATTTCACAGAGTATTTATACAAACTAATCATCCACCCTGTACCCGCTTGCTCTAGGAATAGAGTCAACTTACACTGGTCAGGCTTTCAAGAACTATCACCTAATAACAACCAGATGGTGCAGGAGAACAATAGCCTTTTTCACAATACCTTGGTTCAGCGACACAAAGCTTCCCCAGAGCAATTGCTGCATTCTCCTGCACTGAAGTTCTTGCAGCATCACCACCAGCATGTTTCAATAAAACCATCACAACATTGGAATTCAGTAAGGACGTCGCTGCTCCAGGAAGTACAAGGCACTGGCCAAGGCAGAAAGCAGCATTTCCCACAATCATTTCATTCTCCGAGTCCAAGAGCTTCAGCAGCACACTGAACCCTGGGAGGAAGAGATTAATTGCACAGAATGCACAGAGATTTGTTCAAGTACCACCGATATTTTCTCCTGTCTTTACCTCAACTCCTAGGGAGTGAGCATTGTTCCATGTTGGGCTTTTTTCTAGAAAACCTGGAGGAGCAAGGGGATGCCATAGCAAGGTTCAGGATCCAGGATTCTGCCTCAGTTTCACCTGCCTAGAACTGAATCTACACTTTAAGAGGTTCCTAGCACGGAGCTTGTGTATAGCTCTTGCTGGCACCTGTAAGCAGCAGCAACATCTCAGAATCTAGAAACATTCTGACAGACCTCTTTCTAAGTAAAATGCAGCCATGGCTTTCACATGCATGAAGCTTCCTTGGGGGTTACGTAACTTTGCTTTGGTCTTCTTTCATGGTCCCATCTGTTCTTCCAGGTCACATCCCACCTTTTCTGCTGCAATAGTATCTTCTGAAAAGGAGCACTGCTCCAGGCAGCAGCAGTGGCTGGTGCAGAACCTGAACTAAGCGTCCCGGCTGGAAAGCAATGTAATGTCATGGGACTAGAGCTTGATTCCAGCGGGCTCCTAGCAACAGGGCAATATCTGGGTTGGCAAACTAGAGAATGAGAAAAATAAGAAATAATGACTTCTCACAGGATTAATACCCAGAGTTTTGGTGGAAAGAATGAGAGTGAAGTGTTATTGCTAATTTGAGGAAATGAAACCTTCATCTACAGATGACAGTGAAACTAATACGGGGTGTACAAAAGGGAGATGATGCTCTGAGAGGCTTTTAATGAGTGAAAATCCTTAGGGTTCAGGTTGAACTACATGAGCTGACAGTTTCTTGACAGGTTCAACCATTTAGATCTAACTTAAGTATTCTCTGTTGTTATTACATTAGCATTGATTGAACCTGGATTTTAAAGCAATCTAATGAGTGTTATACCGCATGACTGGAGCGAATATACTGGAAAATACCCCAAGACACCTGGTCTGCTATCGTCACTACCTCCATATCCATTTCCTTTAAAGACTGGGCCAAATATCCACGTGTAAATTGAAACTAAACAGCCTCTGCTTCTGGAAATCAGATGTCTAAATTAAGTTTCTTATTTTAGCCACTAACTTCAGAAAATACAACCCAATTCAGTTAGAGTTTACAAACACTTTTTTCAAAATACACGTATTTCTGGCCCTGAAAAAGCACAGCAAGCCATTTTACTAGAGTAAAGCCAGGTCAGAGTGTCTAACTCAGGCTCATTATCTGACCTGCCTATTTCAAACCACACAGAGCTAACGCTGATTAAGCACTATTTCAGGAGGTAAAACTGCACAGTACTCAGACAACACAGCTAAAGTCTTGCAAGAGTAAAACCCGGTGTTCAGTTCTGTTCTAGAGGGAAAAGTAACTGAATGATACTAAGATCACATCTCTGCATTCAGTCTCCAATTAGCGAAGTTGTCGCTTACGTTTATCTGACTTCACTAGATCTTCTCGAGCTTGTCTGTTACTCCTGGTGCAGATGCAAAGGGTCTTTATACCGTAATTGGATGTGAT